GCGTGCCAGTAATACATTTTAACGTTTTTAGAAGGTCTCTTTCTATAAGTCTATAATATATAACTAAACTATTGTTGTATGTAAAGTAAATAAGGTTTTTAAAATGTTTAAGAAGCTTCATTTAAAATTAAATTAAAATGCAGAGGCCCCCCCCCGGACCGATGGCCAGGACCCAGGCAGTATGAGTGCCACTGAAAATCAGCTCGCGTGCCGCCTTTGGCACGCGTGCCATAGGTTGCCTACCCCTGGTGTATAGCTTTAAAAGTAGAATTCAACTAGAGGAGCTCCTTATTTGTAATATTTCTCAGTACACCAGACAGTGGTTTCCTCTACATCTATAATAGAACATAAATCCTGGCAGAGCTTACTGGTTTGGCACCAACATCTGCTGAGTATATGGATATAAGAGGAAGCATACAGGAGGAACCAAGACAACATTAGGCTTTAGAGAAACATTACATTCCAGCTTTAAGTTTTCTTAAAAGGCATTAATATCTTGAATTAATTCTCTCCTGGATAGAAGTTGCTGATGGGGAGGAGGTGAAGCTATTAAATTCTACCTTTGTATCAAAATAAGTCAGTTTTTCCTACAAGAACCTTCAACTATTTTATTCTTCTTTTAAAAGTGCTGGCATAATAATCTGTCACAGCTCTTCCACAGAAAATCTTTTGAACTATATTGTCATCTTTGTGGCTGCAAACTTTATATAAACCAGATGCAAAGGGACTCGTCTCATAGTTTAGACCCAAAATTTCGGTTGTGTTTAGAAAATGTCAATATGAATAAAACATATTTTTAATTTAAAACATATCTCTACCACAACATTGTACTAGTGCATGTTACCCCAAAGGGAAACTATCTAAGGCATTTATAACAAGCAAAATTCAGTCAGAGGGACTTGTATTTTCCACTTCTTCCTTGGATTATTAGTTTCTGAGTATAAGAAAAAATTAAGTTTTTATTTTTTGTACTAACTTTATTTACTAGACTAATTTCACTGTCAGAGTTAAGTGAAAAGAATAAACAGACATAATTAATGATGAGAAGTAGGAGGTATTTTTACATTCTTTGTTTTAACAATCTAGGTCATATCAGTAACAGTGGTAAAGGCATTTTTTAAAATGTGATTTCTTTTGACAGTGTTCATTTAAGAGACATAGCTGAAACAATCTTGGAACTGTTAGTTAGTGATTATCTTTGAGATCTCCTGGAGAATGGATGAGGTCCAGAGAACTGGAGAAGGGCAAACATAGTGCCTGTCTTTAAAAAGGGGAACAAAGAGGACCTGGGGAATTATATATTAGTCAGCCTAGCTTTGATACCTGGAAAGATGCTGGAATAAATTATTAAACAATCCGTTTGTAAGCATCTAGAGAATAACAGGTTAATAAATAATAGCCAAATGCCAAACCAACCTAATTTCCTTCTTGGATAGGGTTATTGGCCTAGTGGATGGGGGTAAACAGTAGACATGACATATCTTGATTTTAATAAGGCTGTTGACACATCCCACATGATATACTCATAAGCATACTAGAGGAATATGGTCTAGAGGAAATTACTATAAGGTGAGTGCACAACGGATTGAAAGGCCGTAATCAATGGTTCATTGTCAAACTGGGAGGGCGTATCTAGTGGAGTCCTAAAGGGGTCAGCCTTGGGTCTCTTACTAGTCAATGTTTTCATTAATGACTTGGATAATGGAGTGGAGAGTGTGCTTATATAATCTGCAGATGACACCAAACTGTGAGGGGTTGCAAATACTTTGGAGGACAGGATTAGAATTTAAAACTACCTTGACAAACTGGAGAATTGGTTTGAATCCAACAAGCTGACATTCAGTGAAGACAAGTGCAAAGTACTTCACTTTGGAAGGAAATATCAAATGCACAGCTACAAAATGGGAAATTACTAGCTAGGCCGTAAAGTTCTGCAGAAAAGACTCTGGGGGTTATAGTGGATCACTAGTTGAATATGAGCCAACAATGTGTTGCACTTGCAAAAAAGGTTAATATAATTCTGGGATGTTGTGGAGAGACAGATCCCCACCCACATCAGGAAATAATTAAAGAGCTTCTCAGGGCACCATCAGCTTCAACCAAGTACATCTGTGAGGCTTGAAAAGTCTATATATGGGCAGGTTCTTAAAAAAGAAGATGCCCGGTCAGTGTAGGGTGGATAATGATA